AGAGAGAATCATGAATTTGTAAGTGTTCTTCTTTGGGCTGCAGCAAGGCAGGATGGCTGGTTGCAAAGGCTTTCAATAGTGGCACGCATAAAAACTGTTCAGGTTTTATTAAAATGTGTGCAAATGCCTGTGTACCCATTCATTTGAATAGTTTTAATATCTTTAGTTTCTTGAAATGACAAATGTTACCAATATAGTGGTTTACTTTATTGACCTAAACTGTCAGATTAGCAGTGTCATTCAAGAGTGTCTGTTATCTCTATTTCCATGACAGTCTGCAGAAGCTCTGAAGAGCAATTAGGGGTTTTCTTGTGTATTTCTCTCACATTACACTTGTCTGAGTGCAGTATTTTTCTTCCTTTAGAATGTGAAACTTTGCCAAAAAAGAACATTTTCCTAGGAAACAACCATTTCTCTGTACTATTGAGGAACATCTGTGAATATGTGAGGAACATAATTCATCTAGTAGGATGATGGGGTTTTAGGTGTAAAGAGTGGAGATTGTCTTTTCGAACCAGTTAAGTATGACTGCACTCTTCTTGGGTTCTTCCTTTCGCCCCTCTGGAATGTGGGAGGACAAAGGTTGTAGGAATGTGGTATCTTCATCTGGTAAAACTTCTGGCTGGTTCTAGGTTGTCATCATTGCCCTGTTGGGGACTCACAAGATACCCGTGCTGAAGCCTAACCGCAGTCTAATTTTACCAGTGCCACAGACATGTGGAAGAAGGCACATTTTGCTTTCCATCAGGTTTGAGTCTGAAGGACTCCAGAAGGCAGGAAAGTCTCTTCTGTGTGCTTTCTTCTTCCAGTTAATTAGTTTCTGGTTTGTTTGTTTTTGTTTTGTTTTGTTTTGTTTTTTTAAGTACCCTATTTAGATTGGGGGTTGTTGTTTGTTGTGGGGGGTTTTTTGTTTGCTTTTTATCTTGCTTGTATAACTTTTGATGTCTCAGTTATTTTAGAGACTTTCATTCCTTAGCCTTTCAGTCCTTTCCATACTGCTTGATGTGATGCATCTCTGGCAGTGCAGTCAAATCTCAGTCTTTGCCAAACTAGAGGTTGGATTATTTGAGGAATTGATTGTCAAATGGTTTCTTCATACCCTAAAATAACAGTTTAGCACTTCTCAGTGTTTTGGGAGTTTGCTGTTTTGATTTTTTAATCTAGAAGAGGGAAGAAAAAAAATCCACTCCTTCACAGCCATGGTCATTAGAGTTCTGTGTCTACTCTGATGCTAAATACATCATCTGTAATTAACAGCTTACAGAACTGAAAATTTAATAGTGAGTTTTCTTTGAACTTGTATGTAGGCCTGTCTTTGGGCTTATGCTTTATACTTCCTCAAGGAAGAAGATCTTTGCTGTTAGGGATGGGTTGGTCAGGGAGGGGGGATGAGTCCAAGTCCATTTTCGAAATATGCAGGAGAGTTGCATGTGGCCTTGTTCCACATCACTGCTCTTGTTTCAGGCAGCCCAGAGCATTGTGACAATATTAGTGGGGTGAAAGGATGGCAGCTGGTTGAAAGCAGGGTTTAGACAAGTGCAGTTTTGGGTGAGTGATGCCTCTGGGTTTAGGGAAACTGCTTCTGAGGGCAGTGAGCCTCCTTGGGTGTGAGAATGCTAATGGACCTTGGGAATCTGATGTTTTATTGCTTCCTGGTAGTATATTGATTACTGCTTTTCCATTCTGACCTTATTGCTTTTCCGATCTCTGTGAGCTTTAGACTGCATTAATGCAAGGGGTTTTGAAGCAGATGGTACAGATCCGCTTGCAGCTTCAGGTAGTAAAGGATGTAGTGGTTTGCTGCTAACTCAAGATGCAGGCAGGAGACGTATTGCAACTCTCTCTGAGTACATCAGTTCTTACAGTTCATGGTCTTTGCTTTGATTATTTTAACTGTTTTCAAATGTCTTCAATAAGTAACAGCAGATTATGGTGGAGGGGCTGAGTGTGTAGATGAGGTAGGATGCAATTGTCTGAAATCCATCACAGCCCCCTTTTTTTTTAAATGATATAAAATCTGTAATTCTTTTTTGTTGACTTCAGCTCTAATTGTGCTTTAGTTTTTCTGGAATTTGTCTGTGTGAGCTTTACTTGCTATGATAGCTATTGGTTAGTTGATATTAACATTTAGGAAAACATGCCATAAAAAGCTGTTGCTCCTGGCTTGAGACTTGAATAAATTAATACATGCAAGAATTTTAAGAACAATGGAAAAGAGATTTTAATAGATAACAGAATTTGCTATTCCAGTTTTTTTGTTATCAACATCATAGAAACATTAAGAATTGTGGTGGTATTCTATCTTATTTATAAATATTCTGGATTTTGGGGGGGGGGGTTTGTTTGTTTTTTAACTAGATTTAAGAACTATAAAGGCTGCTACTGTTTTGTGTTTAAATACTGATATCTGATAATTTTAGAAATAGTGTAGTAAAATTGCATATTTAGGCCTGTGGAAAAGTATCAGTTTTGTATGAAACTGATACTAAAACTAAACTAAAAGTTTTTTGAGACATAAATTATATAAAGCTATATAAATATTCATCTTCTGTTGTATTTAATTTCTGAGATTTGAGTGCTCATGTTTTTAAAATGAAAAATATTTTAATTACCTGTTGAAATCCTTGTTTTCTTGAAATGTGAAAGAAATAGTGCAGTTACTCCCTGATAGAGTCTTAAATCCTGAGCCTCTTTTTGGGGTGTTAACCCATAATCGTGTTATTCAGGTGCTTCAAGTTAGTTTTAGAGTGCCACTTAGCTGTTTTCAGACAAGCTACATTGGTTTTCTTTTGTCATGTGTCACATCTTCCTTGTCTTGGTTGTTTGAAATGTAATGTGTTTTGGTCAAGAAGTTTCTCTGGTTATTTGTCTGTTTGCTGTTTAGTACAGTAATGTAACGTGCAGTATGCAAATAAACCTCTGTTTAATATTGGTGTAATAAACTACTACTAACCTTCTGTTTAGTATTAGACTAGTATTAACATTTGCCAAGTCAGAACTATTGGTAGAGTATGAAGGATGTTGAACTAAGCCCACCTCACCAGAAGGCTAGCGTAACTGAGAGCATTTTAATACTTGGGTTATACTGCCACTAAATGCAGTGGGAAAAGTCTTTCAGTTCACTGGAAACAGGATTAGGAATCAAATATATTGTTCCAAAGAGCAAAGTGAATTTGTAAGTGAATGAAAGAATTACAGTGCTTGTAGAAGGGGTGTAATTCTTTATTCTGTAGCAAGTCTGGTTTGTTGATGCTCTGATGAACCTTTGAAATAATTGCCCTCCATTTCTTTATATTTTTTCTCTGAATACAGTTTGAACCAAGTACACAGTGAAACTCGTACATAATCGTAACAGTCTGTATTTCAGGCCACTCTGGAGGATACTAGACTTTGGTGGAGCCATTGAGCTGCTTTGAGGATCAGTCTCAAAGAGGCAGGGTTAAAGAGCATTTTGAAAATGCAGACCATGAAGAAATTAATTCTGTAATAAAAATACCAACTTCCTGGGTAATTGCAGTAGTTAGAGGTAAAATATATCTTTGAGATTCTTGGCAGACTTTCTAGTACTGGGAGCAAGAGAATTACTTTCAGTGTTGTGCTAATGGAAGTCAATCTGAAACATGTTTGAAGGGAAAAATATGCAAATAAGGTGTTCCACGCAAAGCATGCGTGCTGAAAAATTCGGAAGAAAACACGTATATGACATAAGCTGATCAGAAAGAAGGAAATGGAATAAATTATGTTTTCTCCAGACAATTTGTGTTAAAGCTCAGTAACATTGTGCTTGTGTATCTGTCTCATTTCTCTCATGTTGCCATCACACATTACTTTGTATGTGTGGTTTGCATTTTAAAAATAACTAGTGTTTGTTTTGTGCAACAGAGCCACTCCTGACGCAATGAATGTGGTAGGGATTTTTAGCAGGAATGGCTGCTCTGGTGGTCTGAGCAGTACAAGTGAAGTTAGTAGAACACTGCCCACATCCAGGATTTTAACCTCACAGACGTATTAGCAGTTCTGTCTTTGATTGTTTTCCTTTCAAAACAGATAAATAGCATGTGATCACTTTGTGGTATAGATCTAACCGTCGCCATGTGTTGCTTGCATACTGGCTTGATTCCTGCCCTCATAATGTGTGATGTTTATATGGCTTCCCTGTGATTCTCCTTAGGAATCTTGCTAATGGAGCACAGATCTGAATGACAAAGAGATTCAAGTGGTGAAAGTAAACCCATCTGGAAATATACAAGTCTTTTTTTAATAGCATGATAGAAAATAGTATTTTTATTAGTAGAATAAGGTTTTTTTAATACAATCCCAGTTGATCTTCTTTTTTATATTGATGAAAGGCTGTATCCTTAAAACAGATTTTCATTCTCAGAAGATATTTAAGTTGTAGAAAGTCTTACCAATATGATTTATTCTTTTTTTTTAACTGTTGAGGGCAAAATGCTGATAAGGCACATCCATCTTGTCATATTTTAGTGAGACAGCAAAAAGATCGGCCTTCTTAAAACTACATCTGTTCATTGCCTTTAAATTACTTCATTTATAGGTGTAAAGATAGGGTGTGACATGTGAAACTAGTTCTGACTGCTGCTCCTTACTTGTCCCCCATTTCTGGTTCTTCTGTGGACCCCTTTGGTCTAGGGCATTCCTGTACTTGCACAGCTTTTGAGAAGGTTGGCAGGTTTTGTTCGCTGATTAAGAAGAGATAATGATATCTATCTCACCAAAATACATAGTTTTCCTTGGAAGAAGTGAGGTTTTGAAGTAAATGCAGACAACTGGATGATGCAACTAAAGTGATTAACTGGAGCTGTTGCTGCTCTTACACGCTGTTCCTATTTTTATGTTGAAAATGTTTATTTCTGTGTTTTGTTTGGGTTTTTCTTTTGTTTTTATGTGCTACTTTCAAGTAAGCTTTCAGTAAAGTCAGATCCTGTATTTGTCAGTTTATTTTTCTCTCTCTTAATTGTCTCTTATAAATCTATTTGCAGCTGGGTCTCGGGCATCTTACAGCAGCCAGCACAGCCACCTTGGCTCCGAGTTAAGGGCACTGCAGTCTCCAGAACACCATATAGATCCTATTTACGAAGACAGAGTTTATCAGAAGCCCCCTATGAGGAGTCTCAGCCAGAGTCAGGGGGATCCTCTGCAACCAGCACACACAGGCACATATCGCACTAGTACAGGTAGGTGGATGTAACTTGCATGATTGTCTTCTTATGAGATGTACCTTATTCTTCAGCACTAACTCTTCTTTTCTTTCTGATGTGCTAAACAGAACATATTTTGTGCATGTGAGCCAAACAAAATACCTTGTGCAGATGGCAACTCTCAATAGAACCCCAAAGGCATGTGCAAATGGAGAAATACTTAATGTTGTTCTGTATGTACAGAAGATTAAGCTAATTTGGGGAGGGGGCCTACTGATAAGGAGAGAGAATATTTTTACTAATTCTTGTATTGTCTTTTAGAAAAGTCTGTTGTCTCTGAAGAAATGGCTGTTTTTTTGCCTGCAAAGGTATTTTGTGTGTTGCAAAGGGAGTGCAAAATTCCTTCCACATGAATCTAAAGGCTTGTTGACTTGTTTTCAAAGTGAATCATACATAAATGTTCTTCCTCTCTCCTATAGCGGTAGGCTTAGGTATAGGTACACAAACATAAAATTGAACTATGGCATAGAGGAAAGCTGTTAGCATCGCTGGTTTATCCATAAATAATAGTGATTTTCCATGAAATGTATTGGTGTACAAGTCCTACTTGCAGAATGTCCTCTCAACCAAATGAAATACAGCTGTATGTTGAAACCCACAAATAGATCACAAATCAACAGGGATATTTATGGTATTTAATGCACAAAATAAGTAGAGTACATAAATGCTACAGCCAAAATAGCCTAAAGCAGATGCAGAAAGAACTTGCCTTATGAATTGTAAGTATTTCTCATGTTTTATTTCACTGTGTTGGTCAGAGGGAAAATTATGTCCATTCTCGGATGACTCCCATTTTCATCAAGAAAAAGTTAAGTGTACTTCTTGGAGTGAGATACTTGGCTTTCTTCTAAAACTTTTTAATTTTTAAAATCTTTTCTCTAAGGGCAAAGCTGTCAGGTTTTGCATGTCCAAAATTTTTGTTGCTTTATGCAAGTTTTGGATATTCAGAGTACAGAAGAAACTCCTTAAAGAGAACTTTTCCCACAGAATTCTCTAGTTAAATACCTGTAACAGCTTTACACACCATTATGCCATTTCCTTCCTGTTAAAGAAACTACCATAGTGTATGTTTTGTGTAGTGTCATACATGTATATGAGAAAAGATTACTATTCTTTGCATGAAGGGGACAAGACTTCTGCCTAAATCATTGAGGAGCAGAGGCAGTGGTAATAATTGAAGCAACTTGAAGCCTCGTTTTCCATGTGGCCACCTCATATTTCCTATACAGTGCTCTCTTTCCAGTTTTGCCCTGAAGAGTTTATATTGTTTTGCTTGCAAAATATCCATTGGTTCTCTGTGCTGAAGTAGCAGGCTGTCTTGTGACTGTAATCTTCAAAACACCTCGCAAGGAAAGAAACCCTGTCAGTATAGATCACAATTATAGTGAATGAAACTGGGATACACAGTGTTTGTGGTAATACCTGAAGATGGGTTTTCAGAAAGGGAGAGAAAAAGCTAAAAGAAGTATGCTGATTTGGGTAGCAGAGATGGGCCTTGTGAAGGTCAATTTTGTTTTACTGTTTGAGATATGGATTTGAACGTTGCTCTAGGCTAGTTCTGAAGAACAACCCTATTAGTCCAGCTTTGTGTTGTGTTGATCCTCCCTTACTTTCCCTCTCATCATCAGGGGGACCCCTATCATCAGGATCAGGGGAAGTAACAGCAGGTGGTTGTGTCCCAGGCCAATTATTCTGTTGCTCTGTTGACAGCTGTTAGCTGTGGATGCTGTCAGCCTTTTGCACAGCCAGGCTGAAGAGCTGTCAGCGCTCAGGGGGAATTTTGGGCTGGATCAGTTCAGCTGTCAGACTTTTCCTGCCTGTACTGCCAGTGTCTGTAGGACCATCTCCCTTCTGATGGAGACCATACAGTTTTTCTTAAATTGGCAAGGAAGGAAGGAGTTTAACTGAAGTTTGGCACACACAAGTTTTTATTTCTTCATGCAGTTGTCTTTTTTATTTTAGGACAGAATAGCTCTTCATTGTGACTATTTGGTATTAAATATGAAGGATGTAGGTTGCTGTGTACTTCTTGAAGATACATGCCAAGGGTTCATGCCCTGTATCTTCTGTGCATATGAACCGCACTGAGTAGGGTGTGATGGGGAGCTTTAAGACTTCAGTGTGGTCCTTCAGAGACCAATGTTCACATTCTTCTATCTGTTACATCAGTACCTTTAATCATGAAGGTAGTGCACAGTTTTCCACATCTGATAGGGAAAGGCAAATTTAGTCTAAGGACTTTGTCCAAAGCCTGGATTATTTTTTTTCTCTGCAGTTCATGTTGCTCATTCAAAACAAAACTTATGGTAGTTGTACTTGCAAACCATTTACTTTTGTGGTTTGTTCCGGTTTTGTTTTTAAGAGAACAGTCTTCCCAAAGTTGAAAATTTCACTTAAGTTTGAAGATCAAGTGACTTGGAAACTTTTTTTTTTTTTAGTGTAGACATCACCTCTTTTGTCTTTTGTGAGCTCTTAAATACTTAGTACATTTAGGAATGTAGTTTACACAACTAAGGATAAAGCCCACTCAGAGTTTTTCATTCTCTAGGTGAATCATCATTCAGTGAGCAGAATTCAATAAGCTAAAATTCCTCTACAGGGTAAACTAAACTAAGTTTGTTCTGTTAACTTGGGTTTGGCGTTTGAAGTTTTTTTGTGGGGTTGTTTTTTTCCCCTTTTATTCCACTTGAGTGAAATGTATGATGATAGCTCTGCACTAAAGGCTACATATTGCAGAAGCTACAAAATAGTAGGAGCTTACTGAGCATCTCCCTTACTAGCACAACTTTAGATAGGGGCAGGGTGAATTTTTCATCACTTTGTGGTTTAAATTATGACTGGGTGTGTTACTGTCATACTGCCTTAAGATAAAAATAATCTTTCAAAGTTGACAGCAGTAGCTGCATAGGCTTTTTTTGGTTGGTAGCTTTTACTTAACAATCCCTTTTGCTCTTCAAAGGGTAATGTTTTCTGTCGTATGTAAAGTACCAGCACAAACTTGTGTGATAAAAGTAGCAATAAACATGAAATTCTGCTTTTGAAATGATCCACAAAAGATGTGGTTAAAGGAACTACTCAGACACAATATAAATAACAAATTAATTTACTTACCGAATAAAAACTTATATTTGTAACCCAGCTAAATAACACTATTACTTTTGTCCAGACAGGCACATTATTTATTTTCCTTTATACATATAGAGACTTTGCATTATTAATTTAAACCCCAGTTAATAATATTTGCAAGTCAGTAATTTGCTTCTTTGATGAGGCATTTACATGACCACCACTGGAATGTCAAGAAAACTGTTACTTAAGAGGGGCAAAGGATTGCCTTTCAGCCAGAGTGGGACAGCGAATCGGTGATCATTTGCTTATTTGCAGAATTAGAAGTTTGGATTAGGGATTTAGTCCTTAGTTATTGGCATTTAAGTCATGTTAAACGTGAAACAAATCAAAGCAGGCAGCATAGCTATCTTGCAAGCCTGGAATTTCCATAGCTTCCTTGAGGGAGAAGCAGCTTTGCTGCTCAGATTCTGGGCTGTCAGTGCCACCCTGCAGCAGAGGGAACACAGCTTTGGTAGTGGTGGTGTCTGTGAGACTGGCAGCATCCTGAAAGCTCTTAGCAACACTTGCTTTCATCATGGTGCCTCAGTGAAAGAAATGAGCTCTCTTCTGTGAAAAGGATGTGATTTGCAAATAAAGTTATTAAAAGCCTTCAAAGAGTGCTGTCCTCAGCAGTCTGAGAGGGAGGGGTGGTAAATGTGAGGTCTGTGTCTACTCTGAACTCTTTGCAAACTGGAACTCTATCAGATAAAATAAGTGCTGCTGCTGAAAAACTGGTGAGCTGTGGACATTAGACCTGAAGACCTCATGCTTTAAGACCCACTGGTTTCAGGGTCTGAGGGAGAGTATCTTTGTCCCCAGCTTCACACAAGTGGCAAGGGTGAACCATTGGAGAAGTAAACCTGTCCTCAGCTCTGTGAAGGTTGTACACATCTCATCAGACAGGAGAATCTTGTCTGCCTTTGAAGAAAGCTTAAGGATTTCCTTGGGATGCACAGCCTGAGGATTGCCTCTGGTTCTGGGCCCTGAAGGTCACCATGGGAACGCCTTGCGATGCAGCTCAATCGTGGCAAGTCCAGCAGCTTTATATGGTTACACAGCCAGTTGGCATTAGTTCTGAGTGTTGGATGCGTGGAGCTGAAACTCATCCTGCGTGAAGACAGGGCATGGAAGGCACTGTGAGGACTCTTCTGAGCTTCCCAGAGAGAGCAGGAAAGAGTTAGGAAAAGGAAGACTAGGGTTTCTTGTTAATATTGCTGAAATTAAAATGAGGACCCTGAGATAAAAGATTTGAAAGGAGATAGAGTGGTGAAAGGATAAGCAGTCAAAGTTTGCGTCACTTCTGAAGAGTGGCTTAATGCAGGACTTGAAGGGTTTAACAAGCTCGCTGTTGCAATGGGTTATGCACTGGGGAGAGTGTGGGGCGTAAGGGCACTTCTTCAGCACTTATGATAAGTCCAAAGCTGCCCGATGTCCCTCCAGCATGTGCAGGTGGTTGTCAGGCTGCCCTCCAGCTTCCCTGATGGCCTTCTCCAGGCCAGGTTTGCCTGAGGTTCTTCCCACCAATGCTTGGGTGGTTCAACCAGTGCAGCACCACCAATGAAGCTGTCTGTTACCAAAAGCTGTACTGCCACAGGCTGCACCGACCCCTGGGTGCCACGGTAGGGGTGCTGACCAAAGAGAAGGGTCTGTGAAATTCATGATGGCAGGTGTTAATAAGAAATATGGGTATTTGCAAGTTGGGTTTCTGTGCGGAGGGAGAGTGCTGTTAGAAGAGTCAAGGCAACTCCTTTTCAGAGGGAAGAGTTACCTCATGTTTCTGGTCATGGCTTCTGTCCAAGTGCTTGCTAGCAGCAGGGAAAAACTATTTCATTGACCTGTGATGTGGCTCAGGAAAAATGCTGAAGGTG